AAAAAAAAAAAAGATTGTGATTGAGGGGTAGAGAAGCATTAAAATCCAATGTAAAGTCTTGGTGAGTTCCCAGAATTTGAATGTACTTTATAATATGGAGACAGTGAATAAGTCTTTCTAATAGAATTATATCTGGATATTCCAAAAAAAGAAAGGTATATATGAGGTTAAACAATTAAGCTTGTGAACTCATCCCTGGGTAGAGGGCCATGGCATCATAGCTCACAACAATCTCCAACTTGGGTTCAAGTGATTCTTTTGCCTCAGTTTTTCTATTTTTAGTAGAGACAGGGTCCCCCTTTTTGCTTAGGCTGGTCTTGAACCCGTGAGCTCAAGCTTATTTTCAAACATATTCGCTTTTGATAGACTCTTGCTATCATCTTTTATTTCTTCTTTTGTTCTTTAAAATAATTTAAACATTGTTACTTAGAATGCATGTAATTATTTAAATATCAAAAATAGTTGGCGACACAAATCTCTTCTTTATATTTCATTTTAATATGTTTGCTTGTGATTTAGATAACTTGAGGCACTTTTGAAGACTCTTTAGAGTCTCATAAATTCCCTCCCATACCTTTTGGCAAAACAGGGCTTGATCTTAGAATCCTAGCACTCATACACAAATTTTGAGAGCTGTTATATATATATTATTAAGATACAGTTCTATGTTTCCTTTAATTGCTTGTCTTTTTTTTTCTCCCAGTTTCTTCTAACTTTTCCACTGTCCATAAATCTTGCCCCACAAAAGACTGGAAGCTGCTTGGGGGGAAATGTTACTGGGTTGCTGAAACTAAGGAAACTTGGGACAGAAGTCAAGATGAATGCACCAAGAAAAATTCCCATCTCATAGTGATTCAAGACTTTATTGATATGGTGAGATTTAACACCTAAAGGTTATAGCATCTATCACATTTACAATGAGGTTTCTTGTACTATAAACTTGGCAAAAGTACATAATTTTTTTTTTATTTTATGTGCTAGTAAGTATATACATATATTGGTCAAACGAATTGTTGAACTACATGATTTCTTTAGACTTTTTGGCTAGAAGAAGGAGAAATTCCTTTGGTGTTCTATACTCAAGTTTTTTTGTTTTTTTGTTTTGTTTTTTTTTTACAAGAGGTTCCTGTTCCTTCCCAGATTCCATTTTAAAATGTAAGAGATTAAATATCTTATTTTGCCTCCTGTGTTCATTGCAATGCTAATGCCAGATACAGTAGCTAAAGTCAAGGATGATGGTGTGAGAAAAGAAATATTTTTTAGTTCTTTCTTGAGGAGAACTAATAGTTAGCGAACTCTGACTTAGTTTAAATTGAAGCTTTGCTAAACAAAGATTGGACACTATCTTAAACTTTCTAATTGATAAGGTCATTATGTATATGTTAAATCATAAACATCACATAGGGTTCTCAGCATAAGATTTAGTATGTTAGTCAATGGTTCAGTTTTGGCAAACCCAATAATAACTAGCTATGCTTTACAATCCTGGTTCAACATCAGCCATCTGGGAGGATTTACAAAAGGGAAGCTGTTGAGACTTCTAAGGCAGAACCCCCACCCCCTTTTTTTTTGACTTTCATGAAATTTATAACCACCACCAGGAAAAAAGTGAACTATTTTCAGTGTGACCAATGTAACCCCAAATAATGAACGGTAGACTCTGTCAGGTGCAGAAAACTATAAACCAAATCAAGAACGAAATTAGGAATTGAAAAGAGACCTTTGTTCCACTACTAGAGTTCAATTTTAATAGACAAGAAAGAGGAAACAGGGACCAACCGAAATGTTTCTAACAAGAATGTTCTGAAAGGATAAATGATAAATTATTGCATGGAGAAATTGTACAATGAATAACTTTACTAAGAATCTCATGTGTGTCCTACTCACACTCAAAGGGAAAAGTATAGAAATGCAAGAAAGGCATGTCTTCTCAGCAAACAATAAACCAGATTTCAGAGAATAGTCATCTAAAATATTATTTTAATGGAATCTTACTTCCTCGAGGTTAGGTTATCTTTTTTCACATAACTCCTAAGGAAATAAGAGGATCAGACATAATTGTTCCCTTTCAAGGATAAATGGAAATTTAAAAGAAATCAGTGCATCTACATTTCAAAACCTCTCCAAAAAAGGAAAAGTAAAAAGTAAATGCAATAGATACCTGTATTACAGAAGAATAATAACTCCAGGAAACAGAAAATAATTTTCTAGCAAGTTCTCAAGTGAGTTAAAGATAAAATGGAAAAAAAGAAAAAAAAAACTATTAGTCCCTCTAGGATAACCTAGAGCCACACCCAAGAAGCCTTGAGCAGGTGGACTCATGATGGTAGAGTTACAGTTTGATTTTATATATTTTAGTGAGACTGGGATCATAGGTGATATCATTCATCAATATGTGGAAAACATACATTGGTTTGGCCCAAAAAGATGGGACATCTGGAAGCAGGAGCTTACAGGTTATAGGTTAGTTTATACATTCTTTAGATGACTAATGGCTGAAAGAGTAAGGCTCTGTCTAAAAGACCAGGAGTCAGTGAAAAGGGATGCTTAAGATAAAGGGTCTGTTAATTAGAGACAAAGTACTAGACACACGCAAGTGCTTTGTCCTATCCAGAGGACGTGCAGGTAGGTCTTGCATGGCTTTAGGGGCAGTACAAGGCTTGTTTGATCTCCTTTCTCATGGCTAGCAACTCAGTTTTAGGGATCCTCTTGGCCAAGAGGGAGTCCAGTCAGCTAGTCACCGAGAGGGAGCCTTAAGATTTTATTTTAGTTCACACCGTCAATGGAAAAGAAGCCATACTCTGTAAAATAATTTCAATAGGTTTATTCTGAGGTAAATTTGAGAGCCTATGTAGTCCTGATTTGATTGACACCATGTCTGCAATGACCATGAGAACGGAAAAAAAAAAAAAAAAAGGCAAATGGAAGGAAATTGGCTCTACCCTTTAAATGCATGGTTGAAATTTCAATATCACTTCAATTGTATTCCATTAGTCAGAAATTAGGTCAATCATATTGCCACACTTCCAAAAGGTAGGGTGGAAAATGCAGGTTTTATTATGGCTGTCCACATACTTTCCCTCAGGAGAGGGATTAGTATAAGAAAAAGAGAACTAGGCTCAGTATGTGCCACACCATCTGCTTTCTTCTTTTAATTTTTCTGTATATTCTTTTTCTTTTATATGTTATTTTATACTTGGAAGTAATAATAATGACTGATATTTATGATTGATCATTAATTCTGTACCAGGCAATGCTTAATAATATTATGTAATAACTATAATACTTCTTTGAGGTAAATATTCTTCTTATCCGAGTTGTAAAGACTAGCAAACGCAGAAGTGAAAAGATTTAATAACTTGAGCAAAGGTGCCCAGGAGAGAGCCAGGACTCAGTTTAGGCAGTCTGACTCCACAGCCTTAGTATGTGCTACCATTATACCACACTTTATTGCATTTGTTGGATTACATGTCCATCCCTCCACTATGACCTATGGGAAAACATGAAGTATGTTTCACTTACCTGTTCATTCCCATATCTTCTACAGAAGTGGCACATAGAAGATGATTTTCTTCTATCGATAAGAGTCATTTGGTTGTTTCATGTAACTTTCACTGTTCTCTTTAGAGTTTCCTATGGCTGTACCTAAATTTTTCAGCCTCTTATTGGATTGGCTTGAAAACTACATCTGAAGTGAAATCATGGACCTGGGTGGACAATAGCTCTTTCGACCTCAATCATTTGTGAGTTTATTATATTGTAGTTTGTGCTTTAATCCCTTATTACATGGCAAGGGTTGTCTGATATTGTTGGGCTTGAAGTAAATAAGCCTGTATACATTTCCCAGTGGGCTCTTACAATCTGGTAAATAACTCATATCAGATGGCCCACATAGAAAGCTGAGAAGCAAGGAAATATTATTGCACCATCCACTAAGGCGATTTATGTGTGAAACAGGATTTGCCACAGTTACCTTTTCTTTAGTCATCTTATGTAAGAGATGAATAGCAAGTAGCAGATCTCTTATGAGAACAGAAGTTTAGTTCACAAAATGTAAGTTTCTCCTCTATTTCTAAATAGTGAGCAGTTTTTAAAAATAACAGAGGTAATATATTAGCATTCTCCATTTCTTCTTATGAATACTCATTAACTAACTACTCTGCAGAGAAGTTTTAAGACATAAAACTCTGAGTGAGAAGAATTACTTTCCCATTGTAGTGTTGTTTACATTCTTTCAGTGACCATATTGTCATTAAAAATTAGAAATTATTTTCTGTCTTCCTTTTTAAGTCTCTGGATATATTTCATGCCTGGCATAAAGATAACTCTTTTCTTTCTTTCAATAGGTTTTTGATAAACACAAACAAACAAAGGACCAGAAGCATGAAATGTGCTGAGGTGTCTGGCAGGAGTATTGTTCTGCAAAACTGTCAGAATCACAATCAGTGGATCTGTGAACTGAGTGAGTCTTCATTTCTGTGACTGAAAGTCAAACTCCACAAGAAGTCTGAACTCCCAGGAAACCCAGAGAGTTATATGTGTCCTGGGGGCTGTGTCTATTCATGTATGTCTCTGTGTGTGCATGCTAATTTATGATTCACGTGAGTATAAGCCTACTTCTTACAGGTGCGGGAAGAATGATAGAGGAAATAAAATTTTATAAAGAATGAGTGTGAAGGTATGAAGAATATTGTTTTCATTTGGATTGTTAATTTAATTATTGAATCATCATAGTCTTGTTTTGTCCTTTATTTTCCAAACTTCAATCTTCGTTACCTTCTCTCCATTTTCTCTCTAAAATAATTAGCCAATCTTTTAATCTCTTAGCTAATCTCTTCCATTCTCACAGTTCCAATTACTATCTAAAAAGCAAGACATCTCAATTTTATGTCTCTCACCCAAATCTTTTCCTGATCACCAGACCTGCATGCCATATTGCCTATTTAACATGTCAACCTAAAATCTCAAAGTTATTTCAAACTCAGCGAATTAAAGTAATCTGTTAGTTTTTCTCACAGAAGGAGCTATCTTCCAGTGTTCTATCTCTCAGTAAAGGGCATGCTGTACCAGAAAATTATACTATCTGTAAACCAGTTGGCATCACTCTCTCTCACCTCTAGGGTGTGCCCTACTCTCTCTTTCTTATTACCAAGACATAACGCTTTGTTTCATAAGTATTTCTCAAGTTGTCCTCATTTCTCCATCACCACTTTCATGATCTTAATACTGTATAAAGGTACTAAGATACTAAGTAACTGCAATAACAAGGTCCTCTTGTTCTGCCTTTACCCCATTTAATCATTTTCTACAAAGAGTGGTACTCAAAAACATACCAACAATACAACCTCCTATTTAAAATCTTTCAGATCTTCCTGAGAATAACACCAAAGTCCATAACAGGACCTAGCAGTCCTTGTTAGGTCTCACAACCCCTGCTTACTTATCCAGTCTCTTCCTACACCAAACTCAAACCTCCACAGGAGACTAGTTTTAGGAACTCAAATTGTCATGCCCTTTTTCACCACAATGCCTGGGCAAAAGTTGTTCCCTATACCTGGAATTCTTTTTCATCTATTCTTCAACAAGTTAATTCCAAAACATTTTCTGTATCTCAATTCTATTTACAAAACCATTGACTTCTATAAGCCCCTGTTTAGGTACTATAATACAGTGATATTTGGGGTCTCCTGCAAATAGTGTCAATTCAGAGCAAGTGCCAGTAGCCTGGCCAAAATATAATTATTTCCTTTTATTCAAAGAATAGTCACCCAGGTAAGAGATTATATAGCTCTTTGGGGAAGGGTGGGGGAAAAGTCATAACTATTAACATATAAATTTTGCCAGTTGAACAGGACCCTTCCTCAACAGACTTAGCCATTTCCCTCTCCCTTAACTGACAGAGTTTTAGTTCAATCTTGGGAATTGATTGTGGGATCATGATGGCCTATGTTCCTGATTCAACTGAGACCTAGCACCCTTCTATCCCAGCAAGGTCATTACAGTTTCTTCAAGCAAATGAGGTCTGACCTTCACAGGCAGTGGGTAGCATTAGGGTGATAGGGTCTCCAGCTCTTTTTGGGAAGAGCTCCACCTGGAAAGAAGGATGAGGAATTGTCCCACCCTTAATCCTATCCCAAGCACTGATATACCTGAGAAAGGAGAGAATGCTTTATCAATCTGGGACCTTCCCTTCATCCCCTCTAGGTGGGCTTTTGGAGAGAGAGCTCATACAAGCAGATAGAACTGATCATTTAGTTACGTTCCACACCTTCCAAGAACCTTCCCCAGGACTGGGCCAACAAAAGGAAACAACCTGAGAGGATCAGTGAGTAAGGGAGTGAGTCAGTCAGTCTTTTCCTGTTTCTAGAGGGAGACTTACTTGTTCCATTGTATAATATGGAGCTGCTTATGTGAGATTGTTCTTGTGAACACTCTGTTGTATTGGCCCTGTGGGTGATCTTTCCTTCCTAAGGAGCCAGAGAACCTGGATAATAGAATCAAGAGGCTGGACTTGATGCTTTCATTCTTTAGCCAAGAGTACACCGAGAACCAAAGACAGACTGCTACCCTGACAGCAGAAGACTATTTCTACTGGTAAGAAAAGAGCTCAGCAGAAGAGCTCAGGGTTTTAATGATCCTGGCTTGATTGAGTTCTTCCCATATGTCCCCATTCTAATTTTCAGGATCCCATTATTTTTCAACCAATGCCCTCACTTTAACAAAAGACACACTCAGAGGTAGGAAATTCAATTTACATTGTAATTCAGCACTTGAAGAATGGGAATATGGAATGTTTTGTTCAATTATGTTTTTTAAATTGGTTTTTCATTTTATAGAAATTGGAACTGCACTGTTATAGGACATAAGGATATCTTTCAGGGAAGACAGAGATCTTTCAGGTCTTTATGCAGATCTTGAACTGATAATTTGAAGTTCTAAGCTCACATTTTCTTTCCCCACTTTTCCCAGTGCAGTTAGGAACAACCAGCCCATTTCATTATACTCTTCAGCTTAATTAAGATGTTCTAAGGTATCAAATACATGATCATCCAGAGAATTGCCTTTAATAACTATTTGATTGGGAGCATCTAGTGGTGATATTTTGCCTACCTCTATTGCCATATCATGCCATGACCACCAGTGCCCCCTTCCCATTGGAAACAAAGTCATCAATGCATTTAAATCTAATCAGATTAGAGAGCTATAACCAGCAAACTGATGGTTAATTCAGAACACTCATCTGGAAGATTCTCTTCCTCTCATGATATTCTCAGTGCTAAAAGCTGAACCAGTTAGATTTGATTAACAACGACAAGGGCAGACTGAGTCTCTTTTTGTTTAGGAGCCAAAACCCAGGGCACTGGGAGAGCTGAACTTTGTGTGTGAGCGTGCTGTCTCAGAGTTATTATAACTTTGAAAGTCTGGACATTTTGGATCTAAGATGAGTCAAATAACTAATAACCCTGTTGTTTTCACTCGGGAGTAAGAACAATACAAAACTTATGAGAGGGGAACAGGAAGTGAGCCAGGTGCCTGGTGGCAAAAGTAGGCTGAGGGTCACAGACACAGCTGAACGCTCGCCTCAGCCAAGTCAAGAAAGATTTCTAGGGTAATGTATTCACAGTAAGAAAATAGTCGGGAGGGAAGACTGCTGTGCGTTCTCTTTGAGATAATTGGATCTCTCTGTAGTCAACTCCTCAGGATTCTCTAAGTCTTGGGAGTCACTAGTGTGAAGAAGAACGGGTCAAAAGGACACCATCTACCGCCACTGACAGGGCAGCTGGAATAACCCAAGATGTCAGAGACCTCCCATGGGATGCTTTAGAAAAATCCCAGATAGATAGGAAAGTGGAATTGCAAGGAAAAGAACCTTGCTTTCCAAATCCAAAGCTAAGCAGCCTGGTGTAGATTTCCTTTTTACATGGAGATGGCTACATTTCTGTGGCTGAGTAAAACCAGATGGCAGAAGGCAAGAGGACCTCCACTGCAAAATCAACTGCTAGACTAGACCCATTGGTTGTAGCTGAGAGCCAAAGGTACTTTCCAGAGAATGAAATTTCCACATGAAAGGCAAGAGCAGTAAGTGACGTGGCAGGGCAACAAAGACAGGCAAAGCTTGGAGGACCAGAGCCACCCACCCCTTCCAGCACACTCACAATGCAGCTAACAATAGTTTCATCTCTGGGCAACTTCCCTGGAAATTTTCGGGGAATTTCTGGCAACTTGTCTAGCCTGTCCCTGCTTATGTTGTGACTCAATAAAAACAAGCAGTGCAGATTCTCTCCAGCAGATGGAGCCATTAAACACAAGTGTTCTTTTTTTTTTCTTGAAGTTTTTGGCCAGGGCTGGGCCATATGGGACTGGCGCCGTACTCTTTGGGCCACAGGCACCACCCAACACAAGTGTTCTTAAAAAGGGATGGTTAGAAACCTTTCCCCCTTGGCTGCATGCCTGTAGGTCAGCGGCTAGAGCCCGGGTGGCATACACTGGGGCTGTCGCGTTTGAACCCAGTCCAGACCTGCTAAACAACAATGACAACTACTGCAAAAGAAATAGCTGGGCGTTGTGGCGGGCGCCTATAGTCTCAGCTACTTGGGAAGCTGAGGCAACAGACTTGCTTAAGCACAGTAGTTGGAGGTTGCTATGAGCTGTGATGTCACAGCAATCTACCAAGGTTGACACAGTGAGACTCTGTCTCAAAAAAAAAAAAAAAAAAAAAAGGAAACATTTCCCTCCATGGTCTCTGAGACAGTGAGAGCAACTATTAACACCTATAACCAAGTTAGCCACTGCAGCATACTGATAAGAAAGAAAAAGAAAAAAATGCACCGAGTAGGCACCAAATAGGACTTAAAGGGAAGAAGAGAAAGGAACTTATCTTTCTCTTAGGGTTGTTTTAAAAACGCTTACTTCAGCAGAGACAAACTGATGTGGTGATAGAGTTAAAAAGCGTGAGCGGCTTTGTCTTCCAGGTTTGGTGAGACACCATGAAGTAATGGAAGGGCGAGACATGGGAAAATGGTTCCCAGTTCCCACATTAATTAATATTGATGAAATAAAAGCTGCTCTCAGGAAGTGTAGAACTGGATTATATGCACTGTGCCAGAGAAGTCCAGACACGGCGCAGTGGCGGTGCAGAAGTGTGTCAACACAGTCTTGTGTTCTCCTCCCTTCACAGTGTTGTCACAGACCTGTCTCCATGTTGCTGTACTGGGTCAGTGTTTGCCATTTTACTGGCACAGTGTATCGCACTGGCAGGATTACCATCCATCTAGTTTTTGGACATACCAATGGTAATTTTTTTCTACTATAGAGTGAAAATTAAACCAGAAATACCCAACTGTTATTAATAATGAGTTTATCAATACATCAATTGCATACTTTCTACCAATTTTTGGGTAACTACGGAAGTTTATTATTATTATTTTTTAACTACAGAAGCTTTGAGACAGGCTTCTCATTATTTCACTTCCACGAAACACAGTCAACAGTGTCCTTTCTGATTCACCCCTGCAGGTTTCAACTTGCTTGGCTGGTTGGTGTTTCCCAGAGGGCTTCATTTGTTTCCGTCTGCATGGATTTTACGTTTCTTGATTCTTGTGTATCTGAGAACTTTTGTAATGAC